CAAGCATTATGGGGGGCCCCCCATAATGCTTGGGGCCCCTGGGGGCCCCCGTTTATGAGCAGCAATAAGGGTGTTGAGGAGGCAGCTAAGAAGAGTGCGATTATTTGTATTTGTTTGTTTTTCGGCCTATGCAGTATTGCTTTTGCTGCTGCTCCTCTCTATGCTGCTTTCTGTAATAGTACAGGGTATGGGGGGGCCCTGGGGCCCCCGCCTCATAAGAGAGAGGAGGCCCCTGTACCTATTAGAAGTAGAGATAAAGAAGATAAAGGATGTAAGGTTTTAATTTATTATTTATTATTCTTTTTTTATTTTTATATTTTTATTTATTTTGTTTTTTGTCTTTGTTTGGTCCGCTGGAGGGTGTTTATCTTTTTCGTTGTTTGTTTATGCTGTCTTCTATGCTTATTTATTTATTTATTAAATATTAATATATTTATTTATTTATTTATTTGTTAATTAAATTAATTAATTAATTAATTAATTAGTTAACTAATGTATTTATTTATTAATTTATTAATTTATTTGTTTATTAAATTAATTAATTAAATAATTAATTAATTAATTAATTAATTTATATATTTATTAATATATTTGTTTATTGGTTAGTTAATTTATTTATTTATCTGTTTGCTTGTTTGTTTATTAAATTAATTAATTAATTAATTATTTAATTAACTAATATATTTATTAATCTATTTATTTATTTATTTATCTGTTTATTTGTTTAGGTTTGTTTATAAAGTTAAATAATTAACTATCATATTAATTAATTAATTAATTTATTTATTTATTTATTTATGTACTTATTAATTAACTAATTAATTAATTAATTTACTTATTTATTTGTTTAGGTTTGTTTATCCAGTTAAATAATTAACTAATATATTAATTAATTAATTTATTTATTTATTTATTTATTTATTTAATTTTATTTTAATTATTTAGGTTTGTTTATTAAATTAAATAATTAACTAATAATTAATTAATTAATTAATTAATTTGTTTAGGTTTGTTTATCCAGTTAAATAATTAGTTAATTAGTTTATTTATTTATTTATTTATTTATTTATTTATTTTATTTTATTTTATTTTATTTTAATTGTTTAGGTTTGTTTACGATAGACTTCGCTTCTCACTGTAATTTGCCTTGGACGTTCGCCCCTCTACAACGCCGCATATCAGTTGCAGCAGGGGAGTCAGCATTATGTTTTTATAGAGCAAAGAATCTTACAGACAAACCGATTATAGGTACTAGAATTGATACTTATCAAATATATTTATCTCTTTATCTCTATCCCTCTCTCGCTGTCTCTTTATCTATCTATCTATCTATCTATCTATCTATCTATCTATCTATGTATCTATCTATCTATCTATCTATCTATCTATCTATCTATCTATCTATCTATCTATCTATGTATGTCTGTATATGTATTTATATACACTCTTTTATGTTTAAATAATTTTGTATATTTCTCTTTCTTTCTTTATGTTATTAGCGGTATTATAAACAATAAATAAATATATCTATATGTATTAATCTCTCGCTTTATATCTGTCTATATATATATATATATATATATAT